CTTGACAAAACAACGGCTATGACTTTGAGTAAGTATTTGGTAGTCAATCAGAGTTGCAACTGGACTTGGAGCTTACCACCAGAAGCCCCATGTGCTTTACCAAAGGTATGAACTCGAATAGAGAAGTCTTTCTCCAGACCTAAGTAAGAGACAAGGCCTGACCCCTGAGGGCCCACCAATCCTGTCGAATGTGCCTCGTCAATCACAAAGACGACATTTCCAATGGGAAGCTGCTCTTTCACCTCCCTGACAATTGCCTGAAGGGGCGCCGCATCGCCGTCCATACTATAGAAAGACTCCAGTGCAACAAATACAAGAGCGAGACCCGTTCTAACCCTTTCATACTGATGCTTGATGGCCTGCAAACGTTGGCGCAGGTTTGACAGATCGTTGTGGGCAAAAGGAAGAGCAGTTGCACGGCCCCTGTACATTCCTTCTCGGATACTTGCATGGACGAGACTGTCATACAGCACAACATCATGCGGCTGGGGGAGTGTTGAAAAGATAGCAACATTTGCTTCATAGCCAGTGTTGAAGAATAAAGCACTGTCCGCTTTATGAAATTGAGCAATGTGCTGTTCGAGTTGGAAAAGGTAATCAGTTGAGCCTTCACCCCAACGGGACGCCCTTCCACCGAGGATAAAATTAGGGTGCTTTCCAAGTTCATTGAGAAATTCCTTTCCCAAAAGTCCAGAAGAGGACAAGGACAAGGTGTCATTTGAGCCAAAATCAACCATGTCGGTTAAACTGCCTGGGGCTGGTGGCTCAAGCTGCCAGCCTTTCCTTTGCCGATCCTTAAGGATTAGTTGTAGGTTATGTTGAAGTGCATCTGGCTTCGACATGATGGATTTGCTTCTATCAGCTTGAAAGAGGAATTGAAGATGCAAGTCAAGAATAATTTTAAAGGTAGCGGAGTTAGGCGGTTTGAGCAGAGCAATGCATATTAAGGAAGCAGTGAAAGCGCCAAACACCTGATGCTGGTCTCCTGGGGCTAACTTCGATGATTGAGCTCCTTTCAAACATAAGAGACATTTCTATTGCAACATCTAGCGGTGAAGTGCTGGCAAACAACTCTTCCCAATCTCCCTCACGGCCAAAAGATGGCAAACACAATGCCTGCCAAGTCGACTAGAGGTAAAAGAACGCATTGTCCTACCAACATCGTACCATAGCATGGACAACACATAGCTCATAGGAAGTGGCTCTGTATGAGAACAATAGAATCTCCTGCAGGATATTCCGGAAAAGTATTAAGTCCGTTGGTCCAGGCGTTGTGTAAGGGCTACACTAAAATTTCTCACAGGATATCCCATGACACTATTCAGTCCGTCGGTTCTGGCCGTGATGGTTGTTTCGAGGTATTACATATGACGAGCCACCTTTCCTTGTAAGACATCATTAGCCTGTATTACATGATCTCGGTCATTGGGTATTCCGTCAAACCGCCGTCGATGTTGCACACTTGTGAGCACTTAGAGCTTGCCAACTCATTTTTAGCGTTGCATTAGCTAATTCTTCTGCAGGTTTGTGTTTGTCTATACTTTACAACTCACCGCTGAGTGTCTAAGGGGTCTGAAGGTTGCCAAACCGCTTTAGCGCTGCATTAGCAACTTCTCCTGCAGGTTTGTGTTTCTATACAACCAACGACCAACAACCAAGGCAAGAAGCTCTAACCCCGCAGAGCCACGCTGCGTATCTAGAACAATCTTTTTTATGCCTGGTAGCAAAGGATAAGAAGAAGTTCAAGACGCGGCATCTATGAATTATTTACCAGGGATAAAGATCAACTTAGTATTCGTATTGCATCTTTTAACATTCAATTACCATTCGTCAAAAGCATAACAATGGAGAACAATATTATTTCCTGGAGCACTACAGCTCCAGAAGCCATTGCTGTCATTGATGGCGCTCGCTCTATCTCTTATGGCGAACTCGTCAACTCCGCCAGAATAATTGCACGCTTCCTGCAGGAACGCGGCGTCAAGCAAGGCGATTCTGTCGGGATCTTGTTCGATGTTGATCATCGTCAAGTTATCGCGCAGTTAGCCATACTCTTTGCTGGTGGAACTTGTGTTCCAATCTCGCCTACAGCACCATTTCATCGCATTGCAAGCATGCTGCGCGATGCCAATGCTCAGTACGTCATTTCTGACGAGAATTCAACCTTTTCTTCCGAGGGTATCGCTCTTCTCCATCTCAGTGATGCACCAGTCTCGGAGTTGTCCACTGATGCAACGGACTCTGGTTCCTCATGGAGTGAATCACGTCGTACGCACATACTGTTCACCTCTGGTTCAACTGGTAAGCCCAAGGGCGTCCAGATCAGCAGCTCTGCCATAATGCACCTGGCAACTAGTACCCCAGTGACACCATTGAACCCCGAAGATCGGGTGGCTGCTTTCAATGACCCTGGCTTTGATCTGAGCCTCTTCGAAATCTGGGTTACTCTTCTCAGCGGTGCCACTATCGTCATTATCCCAAAGGCGATAGTAGTTGATTCTACTACACTGAAGAGCTATCTCGAACTTCAAAGAATTACCATCATGATTATGCCTGCCGCTCTTTTCCATATCGTCGCCAAGTCATCGCCCGACTCCTTTCACTGTCTTCGGCATCTGCTCACTGCAGGTGATGTTGCCAATAAGACGGCCATGCGTGCTGTGCTTGAGCACAGCCCTCCACAGCATCTTTGGAACACGTATGGCCCGACTGAGTGTACAACCCTTGTGACAATGCAAGAAGTCGATGTGAAGGAGACACTGCGTGACCGGATTGGTATTGGGCATTCTGTTGGCCAGATGAAGATTGTCCTCGTGGATCAGTCTCAGCAGGTCATTCGCGATACCAAGCAGCGAGGCGAGATCTGCATCGCTGGGCCTCAACAAACGCAAGGTTATTTGAGTCAACAGACTGTTGATAAGTCAATCTTCTATGGGTTCGATACCCCAGGAGCCAATGGAGTACACGAAGACATGCGGGAAGACCAGGGCGACTCTCACTCTCGGTATTACCGGAGTGGCGACGTGGCCGAATGGAGGGATGACGGCGGCGGCCTAGATTTCATTGGGCGTAGAGACAACCAATTGAAGCACGGAAGCTTTCGAGTAGAACTTGAAGAGATTGAAAGAAGTCTCCTCGAAAGCGAACTTGTTCAATCTGTCATTGTCGTCAATCGGCCAGCAGCAGATTCGGATGGTGTTGCGGTTCTGATCGCGTTTGTCGTGCCCTACGACAAAGCCACTACAAAGTCGCAAGATCTAGTATCCTTTGCCCGGAGCACACTTCCGCATTACATGGTCCCTGATAGATTTGAAATCGTTGAAAATCTTGTTGTGGACTCCAGAGGCAAGATTGATCGTCGTGCCTTTTCGGAGAGCCTCCCTAAAGCGGGACCAACCATCCCCAGTTCGATCCTCACGAATGGGAATAATACCGTTTCATCAACAAAGGCTACGCTTAAAGCTATGTGGGAGCACATTCTGGGCGTCTCCCCTATCACAGACGATGACGACTTCATGGCCCTTGGCGCCACCTCACTCCAAAACGCTGCTCTTATCGCTCGCATTAAGAAGCATCTGGGCCGCCTCATCTCTATGCATGACTTGTACTGCCACTCGCGCTTTTCAAGTCTGCTTCATTTCCTCGAAAGTGATGCAGAGTCCATCACTGCACCTAATGATGCGGATAAATGGATCAAGGACGTCGACACGGTGGATGACATCGAGGAGACGCCAAATTGGGAAGACCCAGACGAAGGGAGGATATTCTTGACTGGTGTGACAGGCTTCGTTGGTGCCTTTCTACTCGACGAGCTTCTGCGTCATCCAAATGTCAAACAGGTTGCTTGCCTAGTTCGTGGCCAAACAAAGGCCGAAGCTGCTCGTCGCCTTCAAGCCAATATGCAAAAATACGATCTGTGGCCTGATGACTTTGCTTTGACTACCAAGATCATGGTACTGCCAGGGGATATCACGAGTCGAGATCTCGGTCTGGGATCGGCCAAGTTTGACTGGCTTTCCAATTGGTCCAGCGCCATCTTTCACCTCGCTGCCAAGATCAATTTCTGCGACTCATATCATGAGCACTACGATACCAACATCCTTGGAACTCGCAACATGTTACGTCTTGCTGCGCGAGGGCGACGCAAGACATTCCACTACGTGTCTAGCATCGATACATGGGGTCAGACAGGATACTTTCTAGGAACCAAGAGGGTCTTGGAAGACGAACCTCTAGATCCCCATATTCAAGGCGTGAGGTACGATGTGGGCTACTCTCAGAGCCAGTGGACGGCTGAGGGAATGGTACGACGCATGAGAGAACGTGGCTTTCCAATCATTATTTATCGGCCCGGCTTCATCATTGGCCATTCTGTCACGGGAGCGAGCAATCCCAACGACCTTGTTTCACGACTCATTTCCAGCTGCATCAAACTTGGATCATGGTTCAAGCTCGATCTTGATCCAGCGTATGTTACAGTTGACTATGTTGTCAAGGCTATGTTACACATCTCACGCTCAACAAAGAACATCGGGAAGTCATATTGCCTCGTGGCGCCACAGGTTGAAGAGTCAGTGTCTGTGAACAAGACATGCTCTCTTATTTGCCAAGCTGGCTACAGCGTGGAGCTCACAAAGTATCCTAACTGGATTGCAAAATTGTCGGAAAAGATAGTTCCTGATGATCCTCTTGCGCCTGTCATGCCGCTGCTAGAAGAAAAGGTCTTGGGCAACTTTACAAGACTTGAGGTGAGCCAGCACTCTCCGATCTATGATTCGAGAAACGCTATCAAGGCTCTTGTAGGTAGCGGCATCCAATATGCTGTACTAAGCCCGGATATAATTAAGCGGTATATTGCATTCTGGAACAAGAAGGGGTTTTACTCTATTTGACTTAATTTATATGGCTAAGCCTGATTTCCACCTTGTGGATATTTTATACTACTTTTCTCTGGAGCATGTTCGCCCTGAACAACTTCCTCAATATCAACCCAGCTGCCTTCAAGCAACCAACAAGCTTGCAATTGCAAGTCGCGCAAGGTCTTGGAGTGTCGAGTAACCAAGGACTTCAGCTCCATTACTGTGAAAGGTTGATTATGTAGGCTCAGAGACTGAAGCCGTGGCCAGGAAAGGTTGACTGGAAGAATATCATGCAAAGAAACAGTTGGTCTCATATTAAGCGGAGGATAACCAATAAACCCAACATGCATATCCTCGAGATGAGGTGCACTCATACATGACTGGGTGATAGAGCAGAGTGCAAGCATCTCGTGCCTAGGATTGTCCTTTAGTTCAAAGCTCCGTGCCCCATAATCCACATACAGTGCTAGTTTCGTGGTCTGAGCAACCAGATTCTTCAATCCCGTCTGCTGCGATGGTGATAGTTGCCAAGCTTGCATGTTGGGCGGAGGAACCAAGCGGAGGCGAATTGTCCTAGGTCTCAGGCCTTTGTCTGCGAGCTCAGAGCACAACGTTCCGAGCATCTCGACGGGTGGAGTTGCAGTGTGAATCGTCTTGAAAGAGCCACACCATCTTGACTTGCGCAAGATAGGGCTAAAGTGCTGCAGTATTGTATGATCATATCCGGTATGAGCAAAGTCAGCAGCGTCCAAGTGTTCCATGCCTCCCAAGTTTCTAATATCGTTCAGCTCCAAGGATACCAGGTTGGACAAGGAACTCAAAGCGGCGCATAAGCGAGTGATGTGGTGTTGGCCTTCTCGAAGCTGCTGTTGGTCGTTGTACAATTCTTTGTACAGATCATAAAGCTTGAGAAATAGCCTCTGGGTAGGTGTTGGTGACTCTTCGTCAACTTGGTCATTGAAAAGTTGTTCGAATTCAGGTTCTGTTCTCCAAGCCATATTTGACAGCCACCGGGATTGCGCTTGCGTGTGAGGATACTTATTCCGGTATGATCTCGACCGTTCCATGGTCTCTACATGTCGAAGCAGTCTGGCCTTGGCCTCGAGCATGAATAGTGGCCTGTTGCAGGCTAATTCGGTTTCGTAGTAAGACGTGACTATGCTGACCTTTTGCACTGACTTGCTGAAAATGGGGTGATAGCAAATATCTTCTAAACGAGTGAAGGATTCCGAGGTAAGGCAAACAGAAACTTCGGTGAGGAGCAATGGCGATGCAGCATTGTTGAAGCAATGTGAAACTAAGCGACACTCTTTAATTGAGCCTTGGCCATTTTTCTCGTTGCGCACAGAGAAAAGAATGTTCCTAAGAACTTCTGACGGGAGTGACTGAATGTCCACTGCGGATGACATTTTCGATTTAGTTGCAGGAGCAAGATTCAAGTGGAGGAAAATAGATGCAAAGAAGACATGACGTCTCTTGTAAGCTGCGGGGTTAACGATCATCGCTAGTTAGTTGATACAAAAGCACAAGACTCAGTGATTGGTTGTTGTGAACAGGGGTAAAAGCTTACATGAGTCCTTATGTCAGCTTTCTGGCCGCTACGGATAAACAAATGCGGGTTCTTCAATCAGGCCTATCAAGCATTCATGGTAGTTTAATATACATTTCTGGGTTATAGATTGACACGTCTGCGTGACGGCACATCAAGACTGTTTACATGCCTTGTATTCTTCTTTGACATAAAAGACAAACTAACCCATCCTCACTCAGCATCTTCAGAACCCTTCCAAATCGACGCCCAGCATAGAATCACACATTGTACAAATATTGTAATCCTATGAAACGTTTACTAAAAGCCCCCTGCACCTTTCATCTTCATCATCATGCCATAAACACCTTTAACCAATCCCATAACCGCCCCTGGATTTCCCATGTACCCTTTTCCAGGCTTCCCCTCAGCATCCCTCCAAATGCCATCTTCAGCAACCTTGCCAAACATCTTCGTGTTCTGGTTCCTATCAATACATTCTCTCCATTTCTGACATATCTCCACACTATCAACCATGAGATTGATCTCCTGACTATGAAACCAAGATTGAGTATCTTGATTACCACTTCCTTGTATTCCGACACTGCCATCGACGATCAGAAGCTTTATATGACAGGAGCGAGCTTTGAAGGAGTGATGGATGGGGTGGTCTTGGTCCTTTCCGACGTAGTTGTATATGTGCAAGAGTTTGCGCTCAGGGCTATCTTTAGTGAGGGATGAGACGAGGTTTTGGGCGATTTGGTCATTTGTTCCGCCTTGCCCGGGGATCATTTCTCCCGGATCGTTGTAGCCAAAACACACATAGTATGTAACTTCTACTCCTCTCTTCAGTGCTTCTTTGAGGGCTGGAATCAATGGGGCAGCATTGAGATCTGGCGTCTGAATGAAGATGTTGTGTTTGGCATTCCTGATCAACGACAGCCATGCTTCGTTCTGGGGCACATGGACGCTTTTCGAGTCGATATCCCCGTATGGCGGTCGAGATACAAGCGCCATCGGAACTGGCTTTCCATCACCAATTGTCGAGATGTATGGCGTCATTTCGTCTCCTGAGTCAATCTCAGGTCCAGTAGGCGCAATTGGATGCTCGACTGCAAGGTTGAGCTGGCGATTTGCTGCTTGAAGACGCGATTCACCCTCTTTCAGAGCGTAACATGACTGCATGCGCCTGACCTCTCCCTCTATGTCATCATCGTAGTGAGGGCGATCTGGGAAATGCTCCGGTAGGGGTTGTTCATTATCAGCTTGTATGGTGGTGAAGTCTCGCAGATGTGAGCCTTCGTTTTCCGTCGCTGTGGAATTATCGGCAGAGGTATGCAATCCGCCCTCAGCTGCCGGTGTCTGGAGAGATGGAAGTTCTGGGTGAAGAGCATTTTGCCAGGTTATCAGAGCAGTGTCGTATATGCTATCAACTATTGGCCCTTCAACATGGACCATCATCTCCAGGTTATCGTTGTCTTCCGTGTTGTTACTCATAACAGCAGCGATCTTGCGATCCACGATGCAGAACTTGGCGTGCAGAGTACCCAAGAATATTCGATGCAGGCTGACCACCTCCAGGTCGACGTTTGGAATTTCCTCGGGTGGAGGCAAGTCGATCGTCTTTGAGGTGTACGATTTTGGTTTGACAAACTGATGTGGGTTTATAGCGTTGCATGGTCCTGGCTTGTCATACATGATCTTAGCAACCACTCGTCTCCCTGTCTTTCCGGCTCGGTTCGAGAGTTCAATCAGAGAATCCTTAATTAGAGCTTGCGCTACTGATGGTGCCCAGGAACATGTAATGAAGAAAACTTCCTTCTCAGCCCGCACGATGAGATTCGAGCAGTGGCGCATGACATCTGCAAGGGGAGCAATGACTGTGAGAGGCATAGTTCCATGAGAACCCATTAACGGGGGCGACACGACACCTGCCATTGGGTCTTCATTTAGACATTGTAGAGAGTCGGCGAATGCTTGGAGAAACAATGGACTTGGGGTCGTCGGGCCCCAACGACCGCATTGGAGGGCTGCTTCGATGGCATCTTCGCTTTTCTCTGTGTCTTCTTTGGCTGAGATCTGGTGATGCAGTCCGTGCTCGTGATGGCCGTATAGCTTCTTGATGGCATTTCCTGGGGTCTGGCTTGGATCATTTGCCAAGACGGAGCTCACCGTTTCTTTTGCTTGGCATAAGTCGTAGACGTGTTGCGAAACCATTTTCACAGTTGATACTTTTTTGACATGCAAACAAAACGGCAGAGTCACTTACTGATGGTCATGGTCTCGTCAGAACTATTTATCAAGCCCAATTATACAAACGTCATTTAGTCAAGGTTGCACACTCCTCCAAGCTATACTTCCCGTTTCTTACCCATCTTTGGTTTTATTCCCTGGCTAGTGCAGGTGATACTACCTAGGCTTACGTACCTTTGTGCAAATTTCCTGATTTAAGTGGCTACACGGTACCTTGGAAACAAAGCTCTTGGCTATGTAACAGGATGTAGCTTCTGCTCCGCCGCCAAAGGTCTAGCTCAATGCTAAACCCGGGATTTTGTGCCGAGACTAATTGCGGCACGCAACTTCCGGCCGGGTTAACCGGGAATACACCAGAGAATGGTCATGGCAGCTCTTCGTCATGTCATCACGTTGAATGTCGACATCAAAGTCGCCGTTCTGTTACTGGCAATTGAAATAGTTAAAGAAGGCACTTCTTGTATTAAATATCACATAAAATTAAACCATTTCAGGATTGATAAAATACCTACATACAGCTTCTAGACATTACTGTACATGGACTCAATCATGATTGGTAACTCCAACCTTCGATCGACAACACGGCATTGCCTCTTTTCCGTTCTTGGACATAACCAAGCTCAGAAAACGCTCAAATTAAGTCAGCTACATGGGGCTTGGATGATCGACCTCATTCGCCACTGGATAAATTTAGATAGGCGTAGCTTCTTCTGTCAGACTGCAGCCAACCATCACATCTCGCTTACGGTGGGTGGACCTCTTAGGCTGGCGAATCCTGTTGGTTTTGCTAACAGGCCTACCCGGTAACGCTACATAAATTGTTGAAATGCAAGCCTCATGCATTACAAACAATGGAATTCAATGCTTAAGAGTCTCAAGAGGCAAGTTTTCAGCTGCTGGCTCATTCCTGAAAAGATTAGGGGTCAGTTCGCCGTCCAATTTAGTATCTCTCGAGAATGTCTGCTTTCACGTCATGTTTCATTATCTCTAGCCAACCAAACCGTATTGCTTTCTTACGCCTGTCACTCCAAATTCGTTGATTCACAACAGCAGCGCTGTCATTAATAGCAAATAGTATTCAAACTGGACCTATATAATAGCAGTCCATAGTGATGCATCCAAGTCCCAAAGCATCGGAACTGGATAAGGCATTGTCTGCTCAAAGACATCCATATTGAAGTCAAACATATTATCAGTATGGTGCTGGTGACTTTCTTGCTGGTTGGCATTCGAGGAAGCTTGAAGAGCAGGAGATTCTACATCAATAGACTCAACTAGTTGTGCATTTGAAGATTGCACAGCGTAATGAGCCTTTCTGTATAGTTCTTGGCAGACCTTTTGGACCTGAGTGAGGTAAGTATTGCCGTATGCCTCGTCTAGAGTTCTGAAAATTTGCATGACGTCACCAACCAAACCCATGTCATTCCGCGCATCCTCGTTCATAGGATTTCGAAGTGTCATGATGCAGAGAATAACAACAGCGCTCATAGGTATTGGAATGACGTCCCTTTAGCCAATTAGTCATTAATTAAAGCCGTGACCTGATGGAACTTACCAGTGAAAGCTCTTCCATGTGACTGGTATAAGCTTGCTTAATCCAATAATGCATCGGGACGCGTTGAGGCAATTCTCTATGGAGTCTCTCATCTTTGAAGGTAGGGCTGACATTTCCGGATGATTTGGTGACACCCAATAAGTTAGACTATGTGCGCGGCTCACAACGATAACGGCATTGTAGTAGGAAAAGTACAACCGCATCAACCCGTGATGCTCGCACCTCGCAGCAGAATCATGAGTGAGAGACGGTGCAAATTCAGTACGCCAATTCTCCAGCTTCTGCAGTAAGTCCGCCACTGAATCTGCAATGCCATTCGGTGGGGCTTTGCTTGAATGAAGATCTTGGTAAATCGCGCTCTGGATCGCGGCTAGTTGTATCTGACCTTTGAAGAGGTTTAGTTCATGCCCCTCAACAGTCTTGATGATTTCCGTTTCATCCAAGGAACCCATTGGTGGGTCAACGTAGGCAGCGTTGAGATCGTTACAAGGGGGTCTTCCAGTTCGGAGACACAGTTCCCGGTCTAGACAAATCGCGATCCAAAAGACCTTCTTTCTCATATTTGCTTCTGCTGAACTTACAGACGGATCCTGACTCTCGACATGTATGCCTATCGAGTGTGCAAGACGCACGGCGCAACCAACGAGCATGAAGCTGGGCTGCGGGTTTGGTGTTCCGATAAAGAACCAGGCAATGGCTAGCAGAGCTTGGACAGAAGACAATTGTGTACTACGCATGAGAACATCCCATGTCCCGGCAAGTGCATTTGATGCATAGGCCCAGGCTAGATCCTCTGCCTCTGCTGATTGAGCTGCCTCCGCTCGACGACGCTGTGCGATTGCAAGAACAGAATTGAGCGAGACCCACCACGCTGGACTCTCAGTACATGTACCTGAGTACTGCTGGCCTAGTAGGCACATGAATGCTGGTGCGTTGAAGCAAGGGAAGACTTGGTGCTCATGAGTGAAGAATTCGCTGACAAGGGAGAATGCCTCAGTCCAAGATGGAAGAGCCTTCATGACCCGCTTTGTGAACAAAGGCTCGATAGATGGGTGTGTCCATCTGGACCACGATTCTGGTGTATGCTGTCCTGATTTGCGTGGAGTGGCCGTCGACACCAGGGATATGCCCGATGGCGGACCTATCGACATATTGAATAAGCTCATGAGTGTTTGAGTGATTATGCAAACCTACCAAAGTAGCGCATATCTCCATGACCACCAACTATCGTGTCCCGAGGGCTTGTATCCGTTGCTGCCAAAGTCTGAGCGGGACTTGACTCTGTGAAGCTGTGAAGCTCATCATGGGCTTGAAGATGTAACTGAGGATGAGCGACTGTTTGGACGACTGCAGAGTCTGACAACAAGGCTGAGGAAGCACCAGCTCCGTCAAAAGTCTCCTCGCCAATTGTAATACCTGTCGAGTTTCGAGATGGAACTCTAGATCGGCGTTGACGTGGATCGGGCTTGTCAACATCTGCATAGTGGCATTCATTTCCGCAACCCCGACACCGTCCACAAACTGGCCGGGTTCCGTCGCATCGGACCTTGCCTTTCCGACAATGATCGCATGCCTGGCACCACGGAATTAGTCAATAATCGTATTCTACCGTGCCATAGCGAATGATGGGTACCTTTGCAAGGCGACGTCGACGATCGCCGCGGTTGTTCATTTTTCGGAGTTTAGAAGTCAACAGACGAGAATTCCGGTTCATGAGGGGACGGAATACCCATTTCACGACCCATGACCACTGTAAACTTTAATTATAGTAGCACTTGTTCTGTGCCTCGGCTCCTGTTCGTTAGTGCGCAAAACTCCGAGACTTCTGTGTCATAGCGCACCAAAACTCCGGACGGGTCCACCAAACGAGACTAGGGAATACCTGTATGTGACCCCCCATTACAGAAGATCTGATGATTTGAGATACCTGAGAGACGGTGAGGAAAATGAGGAAATCTTCATCAAATGTGACCAGGAAGAGTCTGTGAGTAAGAGAAATCTGGAACGGACACAGCGCAATACCCAGGTGAGTCGGAATTCAGACAATGTGTAGATTGATAGATTGCTCTAGAGTCTAGATATGGCTGCGTTGCAAGATAGAGGCGGGCGCTTCAACAACCTTATCCCTAAAGTAATCAATAAAACCCTTTCCAAACCCATCTAATCGCTTTGAGCTACTGACTCCACGACCAAGAATACCATATACAACAAAATGCACAGCAAAGATCCTGGGAAACTCAACACGCTCAATGGAAAACTCTGGACGCCAGTCTTCTCCCAAAAGCTCTTGTACCTTGGCTCGAGACAGGAATGAGCGCAGCCAGTCCCACTTGGCCTGCGTGTCAACAAACAGCCCAAAGTTCAAATTGGCGCCCTTGTCTCCAGAACGGCCAAGGGCGATACTACCCAATCGCACTTCAAGAACTCCACCCTCAAGAGGCGTTGGCGATTTGGTGTCATAAGATGCCCTCTCTTCCATAATCTCAAACCGAGGAGGAGGTGTAGTCTTGAAAGATTTCGCTGTGCCAGTTACATTCACAAAATGGAACTTCTCTTCAAGTTTGGCTTGCTGCCAAAGAGCTGGATAATATGCCAGATATGGACGAGGCATAGCAGAGCGGAAGTCCAAAGAGCTGTGGAACCCTACATACAAGTTAGTGACCTTGACCTGATTTCCACTCGCCGGATAGACCAACCCGAGTAATGCTTCAATGAGATGTTTCCAATGGCCATCATAATCGCCTGAAGAGCTTCTACCTTCGTTGACTGAGCGAAAATGCGGAGATACACCGTACCGCTGTTTTGGTTGGCAGGGTTCACAGCTGGAACGCCAATCCTCTGAAACTCGAGAAAGTCGAGATGACTGAGCTTCCCTTCACCAAGATGAAAACGAACTTGCTTTTCAAGAAGGGCAAACTTTTGCTCAAAGTTGTGACCCGTTGCATTGAACAAGGCCTGCATTTCGTAGCCCCCTTTGTAAAAGAGTGCGAGCTTAGTGGTATCTGGTGGTGGCGCACCGCGGACTCCGTGAACACGAACTCTTTGTTTAAGTTAGCGACGCTGGTACGACTTGGGGCCTTGCATACCTGTCTTCACCAACTTGGTCCATCTCAATATCTTCCAAGTAGGCTTTCACATCACTGTTAATGTACATGTTGCCTTGCAACTCATAAACGAGCTGAGACTTGCACGTATCAACAGTGACCATACCGCCTGTACCCTCATGCTTCGTGATGACACAAGAGCCATCTTGCGCAATCTCAGCAATCGGGAAACCAGGGTCAACAAAGTTCTCAAGATCAAAAGCGCCGAAGCCTGCAAAGTTACCGCCGGTGACATAGGCTGAGCACTCAATCAAGTGTCCTGCGACTAAGGCCCCAGCCAGTTCATTGTAGTTGGTGCTGCTCCAAGACCACCAGTACCATGCGCAGGCGATAACGGGGCTGGCATCAGAAGCTCGGCCGCATATGATGATGTCGGCACCGTGTTGAAATGCTTCATATATGGCGTGGGCACCGAGATAGGCATTAGCAGACACTATTTCCCGAGGTTCATCGCCGCCTTTGGCGAATATGTAGGTCTCAGGAGTGAGAGTAACATGATCATTTAAAGAATCAAGATGAGCCAACGCGTTTTCTCTGTCTTGCGGCATGTGTTTGCCGAGCTTGGGAAGCACGTTATCACCGGAAACATAGGCTACCTTGAGACTGTAACCTTTTTCGCCAACCTGGGAAAGGATTAGCCTAAGACATCAATTAAAAATGCCATGGGAACGTCTTACCAAAGCTGCTACTTTCACAGCGAGACCTTCAGGATTGAGTGCTCCACCATTGATGGCAACTTTGATCCGCTTCTCTGCGATGGCATCGATCGAAAGTTCAAGGCCTTTCAATGCAGTAGCCTCGTAGCCTGGATGTTGTCCTCTCGCATATGCCTCCGCATTATTGGCCATGTTGACCTCTGATTCTTGTAAGCAACGCAGCCCATCTACGTTTCAAGCGCCCAAGGCTTACCAGCGAGGTAGTCACCAGTGATAAAGTCAACATCGCCCAACGTAGCCTGCTTATACATCTCAATGGCGGGATCTCCTACAAAATTAACAGTTAGTCATATCTCGATTATGGAAGATTTCTCGTACCATGGTAACCGGAACAGTTAGCCACTCGTACAGGCCTGACGCCGAATTCTCCAGCGCGCCATTCGTTGTTAGAGGACATGATGATTTTGTGTCTCTGAACTACTTGCGAGGAATTACAGTGTAGTGTGTTAGATTGCATAGCCACCAAGCCCTCCAAGGTTGAGGGGTTGCGAGGCGTTGAGTATAAGTCATCTTTATATCACCCCGCAATTTCGGATATTGCGATTCACAAGTCTCATATCCGAGGCAACCGACAGTCAGTACTCCGTACTTGAGTATGTCAGTCACTTGTTCGATTAATGTTTGGTGACATCATTGTTCCTGTGTCACAGTTAGCCGTGTCCCGAAGCCCGCTGTCAGAACTCCGGCGCAAGACTCCGAGGATCGGATCAAGCCCCAGAACTCCGGAGAGACCAAAGGCATCATTGACTTGAAGGACAGTGGAAGCAATAGTCGGTTTCACTTAGCCGAGAGCATTACTTAAATACCCGGTTGTAACGGTAGATGTAGCATTGAGAACATCCGTTCCGTTTACATACAGCAACCTTGAGTTTGTTTCAAACCTTGTGCAACATCACTCCCCATGAATCGCCCCTCATTCGTCAACACCATGTCGAATTACTCCATTTTCACCGAAGCTACTCGAATCCTAAATGAAGTTCTCCTTCAGGATCCCAGATTACAACTTCCAGACTCTTTCGTCAAAGCCGCCGAGAGAGTCAAGTTCGTTGGAGAAGACGACCAACCCTCCGTCCTCACACCTCTCAAGATCACGGAGTCGAGCGCAGCCCTAAACGCTCTCGTAGCTACAACTGCAAATGTTGTCGCAGCAGAGCGCTATGGCATCAACTACCAGAATGTTGAAATCAACACGGACCTTGCAACCCTGTTCCTTGAATCAGTGCTACTACCCACGATTGGTGGCAAGCACTTTATGCAGAACAACAAAATGCTAGCAGAGCTTGCCAAGATGGACATCCATCAGATGAGCAAGCCAGTCAGGCGATATGCGACAAATGTTTATCGAACCAAAGACGGAAGATGGTATCATCTGCATGGATCTATGAACGCTTTGCCCACGATGGAGATGTTGGGTGTTGAGGATAGTGATGTCAGCACTGAAGAAGCCTTCGAGATCTACGCGAAAAAAGTTGCACAATGGGACTCTAAGGATATTGAGAAGGTCGCCAATGAGAAGTACAAGCAAGCTGGTGTAGTTTGTTATACGCCTGAGGAATTCTTCGCAAGCGAGCATGGCAAGATCATGTCGGAAGAACCCTTATGGACATCGACTCGCGTGCCAGCACCGAAGAAGCCTTGGCCCGAAGCCAGAGACAGTGAGAGCTATAGTCCACTCGCCGGCATCAGAGTCTTGGACTTATCTCGTGTCATCGCAGCTCCAGCAGTATCCAAGATCCTCAGTGTTCTTGGGGCCGATGTCATCCGTGTGTCCTGCAGCAGGTTACCCGAGTATGCAGCAACAATGCCGGATCTTCAGACTGGCAAGAGAGACGTTGAGATTGATCTTAAGACAATTGAGGGACGACAAACGCTTTCTGAGCTTCTCAAAGAGGCTGATGTTCTTGTTGATGGATACCGTCCTGGTGCCTTGGCAAAGCTAGGCTTTGACTCCAAGTCTTTGCGTGAGTTGAGCCCAAGTCTGATCTATATGAGGGAGAATTGTTATGGTTTCAAGGGGCCGCTCTCGTACCGCTCGGGATGGCAGCAGATTAGTGACTGTTTGGTTGGGCTGTCATACTTACAGGGCAAGTTTCTTGGTCTCGACGAGGCTGTTGTTCCACTGTTCCGTAAGTTCACCGTGTTATTGAATCTCAAGATTTCGTTTCTGACATTGCCTGAGCCAACTCGGACTATCAGACCGGATTGGTTGGAGCCACGGCTGCTGTCCAAGCATTGTTAGCCCGCACCAAAGAAGATGTCACCTTCGACATCGATATCAGCCTCACACAGTATAACATCTGGTATTATCGTCTCGGCTTGTACTCTGAGGACCAACAGAAAACCTTAAGAAGCCGGGACTTGCAGTTCAACCCTCGCCATTACGATGATATGAGTGCGCTCGTTGGGAAGACGCATCAATCCTTACAGAAAATTCGCCCGGAAATGTTTAAACATCCTGAGTACTTTTGGGACATGAGTGGCAAGGAATACGGGCTGGATGGGGACTTCAAAGTGCTGGCACCCGCGTTCAAGTTTGAGAAGTCAAGTATTGGCTGGAAAGTTCCGACTGGACGTAGAGGGAGGTCGAAGGCTGAGTGGGTACTGTAAATTGTGGTGGTAGAGAGTTGTTTGGAGATTGTAGGCGTTCTTGCGAAACATTGCAAAGGACTAGCTGGTCCTCTAGAACATAAGACTCTCTGATGTTCGAGGGTAATGCACTTGTGACTCCGTCGGAGTGTTAAGATATAAGACCCGCGGGCCCCGAGCAGCATGTCATGCCTCTCATATAGTCGCCTGCCAATTTGAGATTACAGAGGTTCAACCAATGAAACCTCACTTTATTGCCAATAGTTCTCTGGCTGCGAAACAGAGCCTCGGAGAAGGTCAAGATAATTCATGTGGATCGCCACCTGGACCATGACGCCACTCAAGCCAACCGAGGCTCCGCGTGAAACTGTAGAGGTTAGACTTAAAACGGCAAAGTGAAGACAGAGGCTCTTGACACGACTTCCTTATGAGTACTAGACTTCAAACATTGCGGGGTATCAAAGCGCCTCTGATTTGCTCCTCCTCGATTGAGTTAGTCGTTGAGAAAAGTATATCTACCTCTTTCGATCTCATGATCCTTCAGCTCAATCATCAATCAACCACCAAAGCCGAAGTCAAAATGTCTCAACTCTGGGCTAATATAGTCGCTACCTATGATCCATTTACGATCGAGTTCGTAGGCAGCGGCCTCATCCAGATCCTCTTCTGGTGGATTCCTTCAGCTCTTTTTCTTCTCCTTGATCATGTTGCCCCAAGCTTTGCGTCGAAACACAAGATACAGCCTCCACCAAAACAGCCCAAAGGGTCCGAGATTTTGGACTCTGTCGTGATATCCTTGAGGAATCAGCTCATAGTCATTGGACTGCAACTATCGCTAGCGTTTCTGGCGACGCAGCGAAATATGCCATCAACATTCCAGATCACAGCATCTCTGCCATCAGCGAAGAGCTTCGTGAGAGACTTCGCCATCTGCTTAGTTGCTCGAGAGATTCTCTTCTACTATTCCCATCGACTGTTTCACATACCATATCTCTACCGTCGCATCCATAAAATCCATCACAAGTTCACCGCACCAGTCGCCTTCGCCTCACAATATGCACATCCCATCGAGCATATTGTAGCCAACACAATTCCCATTGTCCTCCCGCCCATATTGCTCAGAACTCACATCTTGACCATGTGGGCGTTTGTGGCTTGGCAGCTCATCGAGACGGCAACCGTTCATAGTGGCTTCGACTTCTTTGGTGGCGCAGCCTATCGTCATGATCGTCATCATGAGCGTTTCGATGTTCACTTTGGAGGAATGCCTTGGTTGGATTGGCTTCATAACACCGACGAAAGAAAGAGATTAGAGAAGAAGAATAAGTGATGTTTTATAACAGAACTATTTCGCCGAGATCTACATGGAAGCGAAGGATCAAGCTGTGTATTTTACCCATATCAGATATTCCTTGAGATAGCTTTGAATGAGTATCACCAAATGCTTGGTGGGGGTTGATACCAGTTTCCAATTGCCAGCAGAACAGATTAGCGAGACACCAATACTCATCTGCATGCAAAAAGAACTCAACCTTGTTTCCTACAGAAGAGAGATATTTCTCGGCGGTTGAGAAGAAGTTGCAGTTGGACCAAATTCGAAACCAATTCCTCAACCCTTGTGTGATTGCTAAAGATCTGGATCCTTGGTCTGGTCCATTCTGGTGGTGATAGATAAGACTATGGAAGGCTAAAATGAATTAATAAGAACCTGCTGTTTTGTCTTCCCATACAACTTACCATTAGCGATAGCAAACAGATTTAATGGACTCATTGCTCAAAGATTCCCTACTGGGTAGCACCGCAATCCTCAGTCATAATCATGCTTAAAGATTGGGATAACGTGACCTGGCTGCATGCCACTGCCCTGTTTTCTGCAGCTTGGGTGGACATAAACCATGCTTCGGCATCTGAGGCACTGAAGTGTTCATCTGTAGCTGCGAGACCAAATTCTAACTCGTTAATTACCATCCTGGGACTCATGTTGTAGAACATGACGAATGCAGAATCGAGAAGAAACGTATACAGAAGAGTGCGGATCAACTCCTCTCGCAATGCAAATTCTCTCCAATGATCATAGAGGCTGCACGGAACAAGGGGTTCTTCCTCACTTGTTCCAGGCATCGCGAAGGGATAAAGGCTGCGGGCAACGTAGACGATGTCTGGAAATCGGGTCCTTCGTGCTCTGAGCCTCGCTTTTGTATTACCCTCCCAATTTATCAGCAGAACGATGGCATAAGCAGCTTGTACTATATCAAGTCGCTGGAGAACTTGGTAAGACTGGTTATCATCGTCTGTTTGAGGAACTATGTCTTCGTTGAAGTCTGGGCCCTGGAAGATCCAGTTCTCGACTGTCTCCAACCAGACCATGGCTTGATCACGCTGCTTCCTTTCGGGACTCAAGGTGGCACCGATCAATGAAAGAGCCGCTATCAACGTAGGGGGCTTGAGAGTTGAGTTAAAAGTTGGTCTATGGAAGACAGGCCAGTTTGGAGGCCAGTTTGGAGGCCAGACTTGAAAGAACGTCGTCAAGAATAACTCCAAATTTCTTGGGGAAAAGAACCGTGCACAAGACAGTTATTGGGACGCAGACAAGCTCATATCAGCCGCTTGAGATGTTGTTTCCCGGATACCTCTGATAATCTCTTCACATTTGCTTGCCAAGAAGTGTCGTCCTGTCAGCCTTTGTTAGGTCAGTGTCCGTTGGCGAGGATAGAATGAGGTGACTAGCGTCGAGTGACTTGAGTCTAGAGTCCAGTCATGCTGTGATAAAAATGTTGGATTCTGAACCTTGAGGTCCTGTGATGATAAATCCGCGTGTTAGTACAGGATCGGGTCTTTTCTGAGCTCCGGCGGGCTAGTAAAACAAATCTTCTTCAGTGGCGTTTGACCGTAATTGCAATCTTGGTTCTGGTCGGTGCAGGCTTTGCAAGGTTGCGATCCGCCGCATTTCCTTTTCAGCTTTGCACATCTTTCACAAGCGTTCTGTCGTCTCCCTCGCTTCTTCTGGTCCAGTATTGGAGGCGGTAACCCTGCTCGGAGACGTCTGTCACATGTTCTCAAATGTCGAAGCAGTGCGTCTCTGATGACTATTACTCAGCTATTGAAAACCAAAAAAGAATAATTAAGTCCAGAATGACCGACGGTTGAAACCACGCATGCAGTATTGGCATTGATAAGGCCTTTCATCTGTGTCTGGATCCTTGTTGCCTCAGTATACATACCCTTCAAGGAGGTGGTAATAAACTCACGCGATAGGTAATGTCGATTAAGGTGGTCTTGATGCAACAGTTAGTAAGCTTTGCATCCAGCCAAGGGCCTAGGTCTCAAATGGCTCACCGGACTTTGTAAACTCAGCAAAGCAAATAGGACAGCAATGTTGCGGCTGCTCATCCGTCATGGCATTAACCGAGGCCATGAAATCGGGCAGCGAAGTTAGGCGGCAGTCCGAATTGGAGCAAGCGAGGGATGCAACCTAGTGAATGCAATGCCAGGAGAGTCATAAGTCACGAGACCCTCAATCAATAGCAGAGAGATGAGACTGAATAGACAGGATGACCTATTCCGTCTTCCTTGCAAGAAAAAATCATGCTCCGTAGATGACGAACACGTGGAGTCGGGAAATCTGCCACCCCCGCAAGTGAGATCGGCATCCCGCCTCATCCCCACGATCTAGTCTACATCCAGATGGTAAAACCCCGCAAAAGCATAGCCATTCGGTTTCTAGAGAGAGGCACTTCGGCATTTGTTCGCGGCATCCGCGATTTGCACTCAACATATCTCACAGTTATTATTTGTATGCCTTCCACTTGAAACTATATCTGACCTAAGCCAGTGACAATTTCCCTCAACCACATTCAGTCGCGACATAACCAAATTTTCTCTGACCTAATAGCACCGAACTCATGGGAGACGCCGCAGCTGACGAGCCCTGCCATCGGGTAGCTACCGTGGTTGTAAGCTAAATCGCAAGCCGAATGATCTTTGTTATCCCAGTCGCTGACATGTTATAAAGCGCTCAGATAATGGTTTTCAGTTCAAGATCAACTCTCTTCCCATCCCCAAGCTTCAGCCTTGGGAAGTGCTCGTCAAACTATCTGCAACTGGTGTCTGCGGCACTGATATGGCCCTTGCAGGTGGCTACCTCGGTCCATGCCGTGAGGTTCTTGGCCATGAGGGCGTGGGACGCGTGGTTCAAGTTGGCTCTGGTGTAGATCCCGGTTCTGTCAAGATTGGGGATAGAGTTGGCATTGCTTGGGTCAGAGACGTCTGCGGTCGATGCAATTGTTGTCGTGAGCCTGGCGGCGAAGTCCGTTGTCTAGAGCAGCAGAATTCTGGACGAAAATGGGATGGAACATTCGCCGAACACTGCATTGTACCAAGTCGTTATGTGCTCACAATTCCGGAGTCGGATGAGCTCCCAGATGAACTGGTTGCACCGACATTGTGTGGCGGCGTTACTGCATATAAAGCCCTCAAGGCTTGTGGAGCGACACCGGGAGAATGGGTTGCTATAGTCGGAGCTGGCGGTGGTGTTGGGGGTTTGGGGATTCAGTATGCGAAGGCCATGGGATTCCGTGTTGCTGCTGTTGATATCGGGCCCGCAAAAGATTCCTGTATCAAGATGGGAGCTGATGCATACTTTGACGGAGCATCGCCTGCTACACCAGCGGGATTGAGGAAGCTTACCCCCAATGAAGCTGGAGCCAAGGCCGTTATTGTTACCGCAGGATCTGGTCGAGCTTATCAAAACGCTCTTGATCTAGTTGCAGTGTTTGGTACTCTGGTCTGCGTTGGTATTCCTCCACCAGATCAAGCGATGAGTCTGCATCCGCTGACTCTCATTGACCGCGGCATTAACCTTTTGGGAACGTTAGTGGGAACACGGACTGAAACACTGGAAGCTCTCGAGTTCGTAAGAAGAGGCGTGGTGAAGCCCATGGTGGAATCATTAAACTTTAATGACCTGGATAATCTGGTTGATCGGTTCTCCAAGGTATGTCACCCATGTCGATGTCTTTGTTCTCGGTTGACTAATCTTACTAGACATCGGGAAAACTGGTCATTCAATTCAAATCATAGTGGTCTATCCCGGTTCTTTTGCAGCTTTGCAGCTACTTTATAAGTGTTTTAGAGAATATCATAGATAGTGCAATATAATGGTTGCAAGACATGCCAACTCGGGTTAAAGAAGCAATAGGACATATGTAATATCAGTTGCCTGATTGTAATTCTGTATATAATAAGTTGCAGCTTAATGCCCTATATGTAAAGCAAAAGTAACCACACAAATACAAAATACGGCATAGCCAATCCATAAGACCATTTCACCCCGTGGTGAGATACCTGTACCAGTACCAAATTTGCCCTTAAGAGATAGCGACCAATCTTGAAAAGCCCAATCATTAACAGCGTGGTATCCTGCCAAAAGCTTCTCCCGACCCAATGAATAGTAAATAAGTGCAAGTAGAGTGATAGCATAACCTAATAACTGAACTGGCGTAAGTATTGTATGCCAAATAACAACAGAACAGCCAATTAAAAGAAGGCTCTTGAAGATCCCTGATAGAGACATAACGAGGCTTGATGTTTTGCCAATCTGTAGATAATTAGCTGTGTGACTCATATCGTCCAATGTAATCAGACTTACCAAGACCATACTGGTAAAGCTGAGAGTAAAAGCAACAGCAGCATTTAGCAACAACAAAAAGAATCCAACGCGATGTAAATCAGCCATGTTAAAATGAGGCAGCTCAATTATGGCCGCGGAAAATAGGTTCAATACTGCAACAACGGGCGCGGAGTAGTAAAGACCCGTCATAGCATCCATTTTCAGTCCTTGGCGGCTGAGCAGGAGCTCAATCAAGACCACTCTCACAGCCTCAAATCCAAGTCCGCCAAGTTGAAAGAAGAATCCTATAAAGGAGAATTCTAAGGTGCCAGCGCTGGCGATTGCAACACCAAAAACGATAATGAGGATGTTGATAATTTGGGCCGGTGTTGGGTTGGCGAGGCCAAACATACATTGGACAATGAGCACAGTGAAGGGGGAGGCCGCCTTGAGCATCTGAATAAGAGCAACCGAGAGGTGGAGGTAGACCAAGTTGGAACAAACTAAGGAGCCCGATGAAACAATCCCAATTGGTAGAATTGTTGTAAGGAAGAAGGTCCACGTTTTGGGGAGACTGTGGCGGTCATCGAGCTTCGTTGTCGTGCGAGCCATAATCTGTGTAACAATCGAGGCGAAAATAAGATGTATTGATACCAATAAAATAGCTTTTGGGGTCTTATTAGCATACTTGCCCAGAGCAATTTTGTTCCAGGCCGGAAGACATACGATATTCTATGGGGTTTGTTAGCTCGCAATGCTAAGTTGTTAATAGATCTGATAACTTACTAAAGCCAGCTGTATCAATTAACCATTTATTAAATAAGATTGTCGAATTCGAAGAAATAATCCATGCTCTAGAAATGCTAATTAGTTGCTAAACCTTAAACTTGTGACTTTCAAAGACGTACCCCATATACAGGCTTGTTGATAGCGAAGCCATATTGGGCAGATATTGGATGAGATTAGATTTAGACAATAACAGGAAAAAAATCAGAAAAGGAAAAGAAACAGGTGAAAAAAAATTTGCAGAAGGAAGGATAGCAGTAGGGGCATTGCAAATGAAAAAAGATGTCTTAGATGGCTTTCGTCTTGTGCATTTATCTCCCTTGCTCTTACTTATGCACTGTGGCGCAATATTGGATAGCTACCTCTGTAATAAAAGTCAGGGCTGCATAGTAAAAAGAACACAGTTTTAACAAAGTAATATATTGAAAAGAAATAGAGAAAAACAAGCTAAGGTTAATATTTAAATTCCAAGTTAACCTTACTTAACATAAGGGGTTAAAATATATTGATCTATTGCTGTCAGTAAGGAATTACTATATAATAATTAATATTTTAAATATCCCTTGCATTTGCATGCGCCCTTTTAACATTTCATCTAAGAATGCAGGGAAATAAATCCCTAGGTTAGAGTGCAACGCAATGATATGTATAGATACTCCACCCTTGGGTCCACGAAATAATCCGGACGCTCTGTGGTGGTAAGCGCACTTAAATCTTCTTTACATTTACATACGCAACCCTGACATTCCATCTCGATGATCTGAAACCCAGCGAAACAAAGTCAATCGGCCAGAATGCAAGGGATTAAAGGTCAATGCAGCCATTCGTTATTGCAAAGTCTAAACCTCCCTCGCGTTTGCAAGCGCACTCTAGCATTCCAGCTGAAATGGATTGAAGCAAATTGATAGGCCAGAACGAGAGACACTGTAGTGGGGAAAATGGCATCGCAACCCACCAAGTCAAGGTCAATAACGGCGCAAGGGATGGAAGATCAAACAATACACCTGTTTCGCTTACTCTTCTCCAAACCGCGCCAGTAATTATTACATCTTTATGGTAACCATTGACCAAGCCGCCCTTGAACAATACCAGATAGAGATTTGAATACGTAATAACATCGACAATTTATTGAGGTTTTCATCTGTTGCGGACGAGTAGAGTATGAAATCTATATGTAGCTGAAAAACAACAAGGGAGGGTGAGACACTTGGACAATAGAGTGATCCTTGGGTGGAGAACATTACGCCTCAGAAACAGTTAAGCTTTCTTATTACTAGATTCTAGACTACTGCATTTTATTCATCTCCTGTTGCAAGAGAAAGTTTTATTTACTATTCTCTCTCCTTTTTCCTTTCGCTGTCTTGTTTACTATTGATATATCCTTCAACGTCCTGTCTTTATTTTTATTTTCTCATATTGTACTATATTATACCATCCTCCATCGCCTATCATCTGGTAGACTTGGGCCTGGCTATTCGCTCTTTTCTATCACCTAAAGATGTCGAACTCCAACCGAAAGTCCAATGAGATGACGCCGATGCCCTTCGAGGAGTCTTCAGAACCATCATCCATCACCCATTACATGACATATTGTCTACCTAAGAAATGGAGGCTACTCATTGTATCTGTTGCCAGCTTTCTCATCTGCATGTTATTCGCTTCCGTGTACGGATTTGACTACTCCACATTCAGTGGCAACGACGACACAAAGAGCGAATGGTCGGAACTTCGTGAGTATTCGACATTTCACGAAGCGAGAAAGACGTGTGGTTCTCGGGATGAGGTTGCCAATATGACCGTTTGGAACACAGCCGTCGACAAGACGGGACATCTCATGGACGACATGTTTACGTATGTTATAATTCAATCGTGGAATGAAGCGGACTTGCTTTAGCTGACCAAAAACGAAGGATCGCGCTTCAAACTTATCAACGACCCCTCCAGTTGAACAAAACCCTCGAGCATCTCACCGCGTACAAGACAACCTCCCTGTACGAAATCGTCGTTGCTTGGAACGATAACACGACACAGCCCCCAAGCGACTTCGTGGGCAAGAACCATGTTCCCGTCCGTTTCCGCGTCTCCGAAGAAAACAGTCTCAACCAAAAGTTCCTACCGGATCCTAAATACATGACTCAGGCTGTTTTGCTCTCTGACGATGACTGGAACTTCAATCACACTGACATTGACTGGGTATTCGAACAGTGGAGGCGATCGGGTATGAATCGTCTCACTGGCCCATTTGCGCGCTGCTGGTCCAACAACGAGCATGATGAAGCCATGTATAGCCTCTGTGGCGGCAAAACCGACAAGTACCATATGGCTCTCACAGGTCTAGCCTTTACGCATCTATCGTTTCTGGAGTATTACTGGTCCAACGATTCACTCATGGAGGGATTGCGGAAGTACGTCGACTCGAAGTTTAACTGCGAAGATATTGCCCTGAACTACGTCGCAAGTATGTTGACATGCGAGGGGCCGCTTCAGGTCTTGGGCCTGAACAAGCTTGATCACCAAACTACCAAGCATGGTATCAGTACTAAACCTGGACATATTCAGATGAGAAACCGTTGTCTGAGAGATTTCAACGAAATGTTCACTTACAATCCGCTCCAAGAAGTCGATACGTTTATAAGGAGGGGGGTGGTTTCTGTTGGTTAGATAGCGCGACTTACAATTATTTTAAGACGTTTTGGTTTTCAACCATTGTATAGGCGTTACTCTAAGGAGTTTTAATTATTGCATTTTCTATATTACATATAATGCTTGTTCAGCTTATTATTGTAGCGACAATGTATATATATATTCTATTTGAAACCGATCCTAAGTAGAACGATCTGTATTCAGTGGCAATACCTTCCTGAAGTAATATCTGCTTGTGAATTGTTAGTCCTATCGGGATTGGCGCATGGGCTGACGATTTCTGTTTTGTGTATATCAAGGGACAGTCACCATAGTTATTGCTTCACAGTCAATGCCAAGAAACTGAACTTTGCGCCACATGAAAATTTAAAGGACAGGTAAAGCAAATTCCTGTTCGGTGACATGCATTCCTCCATCCCTCGTTAATCTACAACATTCCTGTTGGTAGACTGCAAGGGGCTTCAGTGGCAGACATGTTGAGTCTCCCTTGAGTATGTGTGTAGGGGGCTGGTTATGTGGAAATTGATAATCAGGGAGGCTTGGCATTTCATTATGTAAGTAATATGTCGCAATCCCTTTTCTTTACTCCCTTTAATATTGTGAAATGCTAACCCTCCTCTTACGTGCCCCCGTTTCTGTAATTCCCAATAGGCCCAGTTCCAACATATAAATGCCGTCAACCATTTCTCGTGTAGATGCTCGTTATCCGACGAGACTTGGCCGTCAGAGCAGCAGCGAAATCGTCATGGGCAAAGGGATCACTATTATTGTAAAGAGTGCAGGGAACATTTCCAAAATTCTAATAAATTAGAATGTACCTCTACTCGCATATTTATCAGCGCCAGCAGATTTAGGACCCCTTCTATAAACGCGATTTATCAAGCGCTAATGGGCTCATGTACCACTTGGAAAGAGGTTCATGCCCCAAGGCTGCAGGGTTGAATCGCGATACACTGTATAAGCTTGTGCGGAGCAAGGATCCTGGCGGGGCCATCACCAATAATCTCATCGGTTGGCACGGATCGTCGCATTATGAAGCCAATCACCTCGCAAATTATCAGCATTTCCAGGTCTGGGAGTGCTATCTCTGCCATCGACTGTTTGGGAGCCTTAATGGTTTGAACCAGCATTTGAACTCTCCTGTCTGTTAGTACTACCCACCATCCTTCCCTCAATTAATAAAGCATATTCAACCTAAGGATTGGATCTTGACAGATCAGGAGAAGTCCTATCACTGTCCAAAACGAGATTGCAGGAAGGAGTTCACGACCTTGACTGCTATTATCAATCATCTCGACGGCGAGGCTTGCGGCTGTACACGGTTTGGGAACGCGCAACAGGGTATCAGGAGTATGATTAGCGGCAATAGACGAATCGGGTTTTAGATAATCTTATGGTTGAGTGTGTGGATAGGTGTTCTATTGCTTGCGCTATTCTCTTTCTTGCATTGGAGATTTAGACTAGCTACCGAGATTTAACTAGTAATGTTTCTTTAACACAGTAGTTTTCTTATGTTTTCTTATGTTTTCTTACTTCTTATAATATGCCTCTTTGCTATGACCTATAGCCTGAATGTAATATTAGGTACTACCTTTTATAGCATAATGTAGCATTAGATACTGTTTAAGTAGTTAACTGATGTATTATTTTCTTCTCTTACTATTTAACTTGTGTTTCCTAACCCCTACCTTTCCTTTCTAACCAACTCTTATACATGAGATAAAAGCCTATAGAGAACATTCCGAGAATTACTAAAGCACTTCTTAAATAACTCCGAATAGTTAGCCAAGTGCCTTGGTGTTGATGAAGGAAGCCTTCTGAATTAGCTTCTATGCAGTGAACACAATTCTATAGCATTTCTCGACATATCCCGAGATAAACTCCTAAAGGAAGGTTTTATAAATTATACTTTTCATCGACTAGAACTGTTACTGCTGGATATCTACTAAGTTTAATAACATTAATTATATGTCCTTTAAGGATAAAATAAAGGACATCGCCTATGGATTCTTAAGAGACCTGGTTGAACTTTATTTGCAGAGGAAGAGATATAAGCCTAAAATGTTATATAGATAAGAACTATATATGAGTTTTATTGCGAAAAATAAACCATTCTTATAGCTCTTTATTAGATATATATATTAAATCTATCAGAAACTACTTATTGATTTTACTATAAGTATTACTATCTTACAAGGCCTGCGTAAGTAACTGGTAATTTATAGTAGGGTTAGGGCTTTTTTATTACTACTTTCTTATTCTTTACTATTAATAACTATAGACCTTAAGTAAGTAGCCTTAAATAGATATATATATTTACTATATAGAGCTTAGTAGGGTTTATTAGATGTAAGATAAATTATTATAATATAACACTATACCTTTAACAGAGGGAAGCGAAGGTGTGTGCCCTTGTCTTATGTCTTGGCAAGTAGAAGTAGTTTTATATTAAGGTACTATTCTAAGAATCCAACTTCCACTGTCCCAAGTATCATAATCTTCCTTTTTCTCGGGGTCTCCCGTCATCTTGAGTGCCTTTGCCCGCCAGTGATATCTTCCCGCCGGTAAATGAAAGTAATTTGCATCAGTTCCATCATAGTACCATGTCCAACCCGACAGATAAGGATCTTCAGATGAACCACGTGACATCACAAACATCTCCTTGCCAGAACTAGTATCTACAATACTAAGGGCGAAGTCTCTACTCTGAACAACAAGATCAACCTTAACGCCAGGGTGAAAACTGTCTTGAAATGTAACTGGCGAATTCATAGTCGTGTTTAAAGTGCAGTTGAAGATGCGTTCCTCAGTCAGTGACATCGTCGCGTCATTTGAGATGTTATATCCGGACAGGATGCTAGTGTCTCGGTTGATAGCCGGTAACACAAGAAAGGGAGCTCCTAGTCCGGTGTATGGCAGCGTGAGTTTGTTAGCCGCCCCTTCAGCCTCGATGGCAACATAACCACTGAAATGCGAGACGCGAGTGGTGGCATCAGAGAGATCGGGCTCTTTGATGACAGACACTGAAACCGTGGCTGAAGACCCGGGCTTGATCTCAAGAGATGTGGGATGGATGTGGATATTGGCATAGACTGGGTAAGCCTCTGCTTTTGTTAGGTTGTAGCCACTTTCTCCTAGTACGTAGCATGATCCAGCCCCGATATGGCTTAGTCGGTATTTGGCAGACTTTTTACCGATGTTTTTAATGCTGAAAGTAAGGTTGGTAGCACGATAGGCAGTATCGTTGAAACTCAAGGAAGCGGTGCTCAGCAAGGTGGTGGCATGCACAGCGCTCCACGCGTCGACAAGGCCACCACCCTGCTGTAAGGTTGGTGCCAAGAATTCTAGTGTATGCCCCTTTGCATCATTCCACTTGACTGGGCGTGCTGTTGTTGCAATCACATTCCGGATATCGTCAGCTGAGTATTCAGGGTGTTTCTGCTTGACAAGAGCGGCGACACCGGCTCCAAAAGGGGTAGACATGCTAGTACCTAGGATCATGCGATTAGTCCTGACTCCCGTCTTGAAAATAGACGCAATACTTACCTGAAAGCACACCCAAACCACCAAACCTCTGTGGGAGTGTGCTAAGAATGTTACCTCCTGGGGCCAGGAACAAAGGCATTGACAGAGCCCGGCGGGTAGGGCCCCAGCCCGTAAACTTTGAGCTGAGCAGACCTGACAGGCTGTTGACTTTGTACGATACATTGGAAACTACATTAGTAGAGATCTCGAGGGAGCCGTATTCTTTTCTTGCCGCTAGTAACATGGAGGCTGTGTCATAATCAACCGTAGCGACGCCTTTGGCGTTTTGGAAGTCAGAACTAGCGAAAAGCGGGCCATTAGAGGTGCTCGCGTTACTTTTGCCTGGGTAGTACAAAGCATAGGAAATGTTGAATGCTTCAGTGAGGAAGTGTGCTCCACCCCATGCATCAAGCCAGCACTGATTATATTTAGAAAGGACAACGACATTTAATAGATCATCAGGTAGAGATGACCTATCAGGCATTGGTAGGCAGTTGTCTGAGGCAGGGACGTCGGGTGCCCAGACCGTCAATTTTGTGTTGTTTGGGAAGTTAAAAGGTGAGCTAGGAACGATCCTAAAAGAGCCTGATGCACTATTATTGACAGTAGACCATGTGGCCTCCCATGTGTAGTATGGGGACACGGAGCTGTCGACGGATCCAACAGCAGTGACATAGTCACCATCGGCTGGGCTGCTGCCGGTGAAGATCCCCGGTCCGCGATTACCGGCCGGGAAAAAAACGAGTGTGCCATTCGCCGCGATACGATCTGCCACAGAGGTCCAGGGATCTGTAATCTAGTTAGCTTGCGCGGTCATCGATCCTCGATGTGACACATGTCTTACCCTCAGGCCAGGCGCCAAGGCTTGCATATGAGCAAGTGATTATATCAACGCCCCTATCCGCAGCATCAATTAACGAACCTAGTCGCGCATCTTTTGTGGCGGATGACGAGTCGCAGGGCTGGATACGGAACAGCTCATACGTCGCATCAGGTGCTACGCCGCTGACATTATACTCGACCTCGTCACCTTTGGCGCCTATAATCCCCAAAACGTGCGTACCGTGAAACCAGCACTCGTCTTGTACGTAATCGCCACTATCTGTGATATCATGGGTGTAGTCGACGTTTGTTAGGCTCAAGCTTGGCACAGTGAGATCGAACCCCCCGTGGAGAACAGCCACTCGTATACCTGCACCAGTGATATTCTCGGCGCGTAGTCTTGCAACTCCAGTATCTATGTGAGTGGATAAAGTATCTAAGTCTGCTACTGATCTGTGATTAATAATATTGTTACGAGGTAAGCCTTTTACTTGGTTATTTCGTTCGTAGCGTCGACGGTGCAATTCGGTCTCCGAGATGCCTGTCCTCTTGGGGCTGAGAGAAGGCAGTTTCTCTGTATTGACTGGCCATATATTCCCTACGCCTTCAATGGATTTCATGGTAGAAAAAATTGATCCAGTAGAGACGATATCGGTATTGCAATCGATATTAAGGGATGCACCTCGGAAACTCCAATGGTTGAAAACATATCGTCGTGATACAGTGCAGTCCAGGCCAACACGGGAAAGAGAAACCGCCGCGGCGCGCGCTAAGCCCTCGACATCCTTCTTCTGCATTATCAATGAGGCTCCAGAGTCTGCTTGCTTCATCATCACCTGGTACTTACCAACTGAGAAGTCCCATCGAACTCAATAATGACAGCGGTAGGATAGGAAGCAGTCACCAACAATGGGATACACGCCGCAATGGCAAATTGTTTCAGAGAGGATAACATTATGCGTTGAAGAGGCTTTCTGCTGATCGAACGTTGGAATGATGGTCCACGTTGTAACTCTGTCCTGGTCTTTAGGCGGCTCCAGCCGATGTATGTGTAGCAAGACGTGAAAGAGTAGCAACAAGGTGGTATGATACAAACCTGGTCATTATGAGAGAAACCTAGGAATCTTGCATCGAATCTAAAGGAATAAAATGAATTTATATATGGGGTCATCATGGATCAGGGTAGACATTCAGCAAGGGGAGCATGTAAAATGGATGCAAAAGACTGCTTTAGAGCCCAGCTCAGACAGGGCAAGCTTCACGAACTCTGTTTGTCCATACGTGTACCTATTTACTGGATCTTTTTAGCTTTTTGTAACATGGGTAAAGTAAAACCCGTCAATCGGAGGTGTCGAAAAGTTGCTGCCGAAAACGCCGAGATGTAAAGTTTAATTAGGCGTTGTGATGAGTAAATTTAACCCAGTGGCAAAACAAAAGTTTAATAATAATGTGCCTTGAATAGTCTAGACCCTTTTCACTGGCAACAAAGTGCTCTGTCTTCTCTCTGCAAAACGGATAACATCGAAAGATAGTGTATGATAATTTCAACCCCTTACCAAGCAGGGTTAGATGAAGAGGTTTGTTTTAAGACTTGCTTAACCAGAAGCACATCTCATAGCTGTATGTATTTCGAACCACGTTGAATGAAAAAAAGCCTCTCTTAAATATGCCTGCATCTGTAGCTCATTTGGCAAGTCGAAAAACCCGTTTACCATTTCTATATCATTTTCTCGATCTCGGCTTTGGAAAAGCTGCTCCTCGAGCCGATGCTGGCTGCTTTTGGGCGCTCCATTTGTGGCCCTGGATGATAACGTTGTCTGATTCTTGCCTGAGTACGTTTTAAATAATCTCAATACTATGGTTTTAAGTCTAAAGTAGTTAGCATCAACAGCAGTCAATAACGGAATTTCGGAGTCCAGATACATCGCGCTTACTAAGAGCAAGATATGGGTATTGAGGTAAGGACTTCCTTGCTAGTGGACAGGCTAAATGATATTAATTCTTCTATATATTAAACTTAAGCTTTGCTTTTGAGTTATGAAAAACAATTTAGTGATTTTCCTGATCTTTACTTTTCCCTGTCTTCTAGTTAGTCAGGGCAGTACTTGATAATATATATATATATATATACATACATACCTTTACTCCTATATTTATAAGTAAAAGAGATACTTAGCTACTTAATCTTAATAGTATTAAAATCACGCTTCTGTCCTCTGAGGCTTTCCCCAAACATCATTCCATGAATATAAGCCTCACCTATAAACATAAACTCATCCATGCCAATTGGGCGAAGAATATATGGTGTTCGGCCGCCTGCCAGTAGGACCACACAATCTTTCGGCTTAGCTTCCTTTGATGATATCCCCAAATAGCCTCCTTCTGTTCTCAGGAGACACCGCTCTGTAAGATAATTAAACATACCAAATCTGAACTCTTGCTCGGGTAGATCCAGAAACCTTCTGAACCCGTCCTCGCTCTTATCATTGAGACCTTGGTTGCTGGTTATCACATCCAAGGCTGATGGAAGCAAATTGGTTGAGTCTCCTCTCCGCAAACCTTCCAAGACCTGGCATAGCGACAAATGACGGTCACTAGAGCTCCTTCGCCGATGTTCGACCATGCATTCAAGCAAAATGACCTTGAAGAACGCCTTCGACGCTTCTGACTTTTCATAGTCTTGTTTCTCTTGCACGATAGTTCGCCACAGTGCTTCGACGCGACTTTCTCCAGTGGGGTAAACAACGGAGATACGCGATACGATTCCCAACCATTTTTCTATTGCATTATCGTCTATCAGACGTTCATAAAATGTCATCAATGGCGGTTCCTCTAACTCAACAACCGTGTCGACTACCAAACCATCAAGGTTGAGCATTTCCGGTTGGGATGGATAAAATGTAGCCTGACGATCCCGTGAAGCATTGTATTTCTTGTTGTAGATTCTCCAGGAAACTAATTGCAGATTGAACATCGGAACCCATGATGGGAGAGTCGTAGGGCGGTCATGTTTGGGCTTATTTAGCGAAATTGTAGAGGATTGAAATAGGAAAGAGGAAGGTGGCTGAACAAACGACAGTGATTCTAACGGTTCCAAATCATCCATTACCGTCTGGGTCCAATTCTGAACACTGTCGTCTCCTTCTGCTCGAATAAGGATTCTAGCCATATCAGTGAAAACCTCAGTGACTGACTTGGAATAGTCCGCCCATATGCCTTTCAAAGGCTGCGAAATGCCTAGCAATGCGAATATCCTATCCCGAGGGTCGGATACAGCGAAGTTCCAGGTAAGGACAATCAGCGCAGGAAGGCTCAACTTTTGTTGGTATAGCGAGTGTGAGGTAGGCTGCTCGAGTAACCACTCTCTTCTTGATTTTGCCTCTTTACAATCAGGTCTAGTTCGAATTCTGATATCAAAAAGGGAAAGGACTTCTGTGCCTGGTACAGCTCTTTCAAATTTAATGGCTGGCCCACCGTAGCCCAGGAAACGACTGGCTCTGATGTCGCCGAACCGCCCAAACAGGAGAAAAAAAAGTTTCACCCAGCTGAATTGAAACGGTCCGCACATCATATCGATCTGTTTGGCAAGTGATACTTCTTGAATCACCCATGTCCGAGAAAACCACGTACGGGTGAGCAGGCTTTTGATGGCTAGCAACTCCCTAACAGACATGACGATACCATCAGGTTTCTCATCCAAGTCAAGACTTTCCCCTCTGTGATAGGCAGACCACCGTCTGAAGGACTTTGTGTAACTTTCTGGGGAAGCGAGTTCAGACGATAAGAAATTGCAAGCCGCCTGAGTCGTATCATCTTCCTCTCCTAGCCACGCCAAGACACAGTGTGCCGACCCGTAGATCTGCGACATCATTACAACTTGGCTATTACGCTCTGGAATGTCGTCCTGATTGATACATATTGCATCGATCCAGAGAGGCTGTCCTGTCAGAGTCATAGGCTTTGTTGGATTAGATCCATCTTTGTCCTGGGTATCCCAAGTGCGCAGTATTTCGGCGGTTTCTTGCCATCGGCGCCGCTTCCGTTGCAAACAACAGGCTAGTGGGTCGCGTCTGGATCGATCCAGAGTGGTTGCGTTTGCACCTTGGAGAAGAAGAAGCCTGACGATTTCTGGATATCCATTCTCTGCAGCATAATGTAAAGCCGTCTCGCCGAAATTATCCTGACATTGGTAATTGGCACCCTGATTAAGGCATTCCGTGACCTGGTGTAAGTTCCCTTCCTCGGCAGCTTGTATGAGCTTCGTCTTGTTGTAAATACCAAATCGGTCATCAATGTTGTTGGGTGCTACAATGCGCTCTTGAATTCTATACAAGGCTTCGTAAAGGTTCTTTCCAACGTAAAACAAGCGGCCATTAACAGCTATGACGTGCTTATGTTGGACAGAATATTCATCTGATGATCCGGTTAGGGCCTCCTTCGGGTTGCCCCAAGTGTAAGATAGCGCATGATAAAGAGGACATCTGTCAGGTTCTGATGGCTCAAGCAGGAATTCCATCAAGGGGACGCCGTTGATAGAACGTTGTTCAGGGTCTTGAAGTCGCTTTATTGGCCAGAGGAGGCGGATGGAGGTTGATGATGGAAGCGCATCGTACTCGAAAGTTTTGTATTCAAAAGGAATGTCCATTATGATATTCTTTGATCTGTAGGCACTAGTATAACTGGAATTTTATGCGAGATGGCTTTATTAGTACTGTGTAGTATATATGTCATGCCTTGTAAAACGAGTCTGCCTTGCGGTAAGCCACTTCTGCAGCTTCTAAAAATTCAACTTGGCCATCCAGAACCAATAGCTAATATAGCCCCACTCACTTGTCTTGGCCAATGAAAGTGGCGGGTCCATGTATTTCTACACATCGTATTACGTGGGATGAGGATGCAGAGTGGCTGAGCCCACAGCAAAAAACGAAATACGAAGCATGAGGTAAATAAGCCTTGGTTACAGGCTTGGTTCAGCTTGTTACGACCCCCGTGATTACGTCACGTGTACCCCACCAATTTCAACCACTTAGATAGAACCTAGATATTGTAAGTTTGTTATGGGAATATGTGAAGAATACAATGAATTTTACTAAAGAACGTATGCTGTAATATAACTATGCCCTTAGCGCGGCGGAAGCAAGAAGTCTAATCATAGTTATAGCAGCCCCCTTCTATACCCTATCTTTCATATAGCAACTCTAAAGATACAACTAAACAGGGGATAAAACTCTAAAATAGAACCCAATCCCTCTTCGTGTTTTAATATCTCTCTAATCTATTGCCAGAACTGATGGTCTGATTAATAGCTCAGTAGGTTTGCAGATTTTCGTTTATCTGCTAATTACTGAGGGCATTGTTGGCTGACCTTGTCAGGGTCGGCGCAGTGGTAGAGAGCATTAGGGCAGCAGATCTGGCCGACAGGACAGAAGAAAGAGTCTCCGCACTTAGGACCAAAGGTGGGAATGGGTGGAGAAGCTGCAGTAGTGGCCGTAGGTTGCTTGCGGCGTTGAAGCTTTTCTTGGGCTGAGGGTGGAGCAGGGCATTCCTCAAAGCATCCAATTTCAGAAACTCCGTTGACAATGACCTCGCAGCATTTGGACTTGTCTGAAGGACAAACTTGGTCGCCACATTTGTTTGGGTACGTCTGTCGACGCTGGAGAGCTTGAATAGGTGGGCATTCAGCAAAGCATCCAATTTCAGCAACTCCGTTGACAATGACCTCGCAGCACTTGGCTTTATCAGCAGGGCAGACCTGGTCGCCACACTTATTGGGGTATGTCTGGGGAAGGGCGTTGACAGCGACGCTGAGAGCGATGGCGACAATGGCGTTGTTGAAGAGCATGATGAAAGAGTTATATATTACTTGCAGGGATGATAGTATGACTGGGAAGTAGAGATAAAGATATGTTAAATTTCTGTGTTTATATGACTGGGAGTTATTTAATCCATTTGGTACCGGGAATTGACTGATATTTATAGTCGAGAAAGGCAATATCGAAATTATAAAAGGCCCTTATGCCGACGAATATTGATGTTCTGCGATACGACAAATCGGTGTTAACCGTACATGCCCTGAGCTAAAGGACCGAATATGACAGCCTTGAGGACACACTAGATGCTGAATCATCTCAAGAAGATCCTAACTTCGCTATAAAAAGCTATAAGAGTAATGGAATAGAAAGTTTCCCAAGACCACCACTACCGGCGGGAGCCGGTCGAATCACCGGTCTATTAGAAGTTGGTCGGTAGCCTCTTATGTCATATACTGGTTGAGGAGTGTGTATTGTGGCGTTATATTGGGGCTATTTGTTTGGGCTGTGCAATGAAGTCACTATTAGTGGCGTTATACCAGCCAATGATATGAGAACATTTCATCTATTTCATGGGGAGTGGCATACGTGAGTTTAGCTCTCTTTTCGTCAAGCGAACATAGGAGCAGCAAACGCTTAGAATTCAACTTATGCACCGATGCTGAAGGCCATACCACACGCCTTAGCCCAAAATTATCCTGTTCAACATCCATTTCTATACATAGGAGCTGAACACGGGTGAGAGAATATACTCGCGTTAAGTATGCGTTGTAGTTCGGGAATGTCTTTCACTTGGATATTCATAATTTTCACTGCACCGCTGTCGAACGCACGGGACCTTTTACACACCACATCATCAAGGGCTACCCCGATTCAGCATGTTACGGTCGTATTGTGAGTAGCATAGACTGATCTGACATCATGAGTACGACTTGTATCTGTGTCATAGCAATAATATGCCAAATGATTGATGAGATCGGTGTATTTGAAGGTATAGCGCTTACAGACATGATACTGATAAGCTAGGAAGATTTAAATAATCGGGAATCAGTACTGTCGACAGTACAGTGTGGCAGGAAATGGCATTTACCGAATGGCGTTCACTCGGATTCGACATTATGTTATGATTGGCTCGGGTTTCAGAGATTGTCAGCTGCAACGTTTCTACGCGAAGTCTACCTCACCGCAACGTTTTCACAGACACTCTACCCCAGGGGTAGTAGGTTTTAGCATGGCACGGAAAGACCGAACTTGTGTTTATTTGTGGATGTCTACATTGGCTGGTGTTATCCTTGACCTGCTGGTATTAATTGCTAGTGGCGGCGATCTCTCGGCCCCAATGGCAAGCTCTGTAAACTTCATATGTTAACATAAGGGTTAGGGTTTATATCTTTTTAGGCTAGCTTATAAACTTAATAAAAAAATAAGTATTTATTAATATTTAATATTTTAAGTATTATAAAATTAATCTTACTAAAGTTCTAGGTATTATTTAATTAAATATTATACTTAATAATTATATTTTAAATAAGCTTAAACTAATTATAAATAATAGTTAAATCTTTATACTTAGCTTTTTAATAATTATGTGTATAAAATATTATATTTTAAGCTTTTTATAGTACTTAAGAAAGTCTATAGCTTAATACTTGTTAATAAATAATATAATATAATTAGGCAATTAATAGGGGGGCATGACGAATTAATACGCGGGCATGATCCTTAGGGGGGCATGACTTTTTATAACACCTAATTCGTCAATTTCGTTTTTGTTAGTGTCGGCAGAATTCTATCAGAGCTTCCTAAGTACCTCGTGTTACATATGCCTGTCCCAGATTGTCACACAAGTACACCACAAGAGTCAGAGAGGTGTTACAGATCTGTTGCAGGTTCGGCAGGTCTAGTATCATAGCCTCTCCTCGTCAAATATAATAAGAACAAAGAAGACGAGGGGACAGGGATAAATCAATCAATAATCTGTTCTTCATCTTAAAATCATCATTCATCTTAACTTACCACCCTCGTATCCGACACCTCGAGCTTAGCTCGCCCTTAATCTTACCTTAGTAACCAATGCAATGCCATCAAGTTTTCTCTCCATCAGCAAGCTATCCACTCCTAAGTCTCTCAATCCTCGATGATTAAAACCTTCACCACGTCCCAATCTAAGCCTCCTTCCAGCTCAGAGAGCAATCCGAGATGCCGAACTCGCAGTCCTAGTCCTAGCAATCAATTACACGCCCGAAAACAACGGCGGCAAAGCCGACAATCCAGGTTCAGCCCGCCGTTACTCGCGAATAGACCTCGCTCAGCGAGCAGCATTGGAACAAGTATCAGCCAATATTACGGAGTCGGCGACGAAGATACACTCAGAAATCTCTTCGCATCTTATCCACAGACCTTTTCAACCGCTCCACAGCCCCATGGATCACAAGGGCTTCATAAGCCACCATAGGAGCTCCGTTTCGATTACGAGATACACCTTTCGAATGACTTCCTAACCCAAGGAAGACGGCAGCAGCAAGTCAGAATCCCTATACCAGGGCCAGAAACCGACCCACTACCTTCCTCCTCTCCGCCTCAATCAGCACGGGAGCAATCGTCACCCACAAAGGCCGAGTTTCAATCTGCCCTGAAGCTAGTACGAGAAGTGATTGGGACGGATCGGAAGCTTACCCTCGAGCTCGCTCGGTCATACGAGCGAGTACGCCAATGGCGAGAGAAATGGGGTTACTCGCCACTCAGTTCAGATGCGCTTGAATCGCCTCCTCCCTACTCACCGCCCCGAGAGTCGTCCACCCAAGCAGTATCCCCTCAAAAGATCAGATCTTCTCCTCTTCGAATTTCCTCGTCCCCTGCCCCCGACCCGATCCCGAACCCACCGATCCCAGGCGACCCAGCGCCGTCAGCCGAAGCTCTATTTGACTTGATAAACACCTTTGCGAAAGAGAGTGGCTTTGGTATTGTCCGACGGAACGCCTACTCATATAACGGTCGGAGGATGAGATATTCTTTCCAATGTGACAGATACGGAGAACCACGGCCTAGCAGAGGTGCAGGTCTTCGGCAACGGAAGTCCCGGAAGTGCGGATGCAAGTGGATGGTGATAGCCGAGGCTCTAGAAGAGGGCGAGTGGCTCCTACGACAACACCCAAACCCGGAACACAGTCAACACAACCATGGGCGTAGTATTAGACCGTCTGCGCACCCTTCCCATAGACGGCTGACTACACCCATCAGGGCAACCATTGAGTCGACAAGCCGTCGGGTCGGTATCCGGGCCCGTGACGTACGGGCTGTGGTCCAAGAGCAACACCCCGAATCAACCTTCACGCAGAGGGACATCTATAACGCCCGGGCTCTCATCAATCGAGACAAGTTGAATGGCTACACTCCCACTGCAGCACTGATCAAGCTATTTGATGAGATGGACGTTCCTTACGTCGTTAAGTGGGCGGATGATGAGCCAAGCCGCCTCGTTGGCCTTGTCTGGACCTTTTCCTACTGTCTCAAGATGTGGAAGCGGTTTCCCGAGGTCATCAGCTTCGACAACACATACAACACCAACCGCTTCAAGCTTCCGTTATTCCAGGCAACAGGACAGACTTGCCTTGGTTCTGTCTTCAATGCGGCTTTCGGTCTGATCGACAACGAGAGACGGGAGGGGTTCCAATTCCTCTCTGAGAGTATTCGACAACTGGCAGAGCAGCACTCCATTTGCCAACCGGACGTCATCGTTACCGACTTCGACGATCAGATGAAGGCCGCCCTGAATGATCAGTTCCCTGATGTACAGCAGCAGCTCTGTATCCACCACATCAATTCGAACGTCCTGCTCAAATCAAAGCAAAAGTGGGTCAAGGGCCGCAGTAGTAGCAGTAGTCCCGACAGCAGCGACGAGGATAAGTCTACTCCACAGGTACGGGCTGAGCTTAGCCCGAAAGACCGACAGTTAGTCCACGCGTCGACATCTGAGGACATCCCTCATAGTTATCGAGGGGTTCTCATGATGTGGAAGCTCGTCTTGTTTGCCGAGACTGAGGACGCTCACGAGAAGGCGTGGAGAAACCTCTGTAGGGAATTTGATGACCAGCGGGCTATCCTCCGGTATCTCCATGGAACCTACATGCCTGTAAGGGCCCAGTGGGCACGCTGTTTCATCCGCAAGTATCGCAACTTTGGCATCCGCGTCACCTCTGGCACAGAAGCAAGCAACAACAACATCAAGAGCTACCTTCTAAACGGTATGAGCCACCTGTATCGACTTGTCGAAGCTCTGCAGGACATGAT